CTTTATGTCCCGGGTTACTTTAAAAAATTTAACTATAAAACCCTTTAATATTTTATAAAAATAAAAATAAAAAGTGAAACATGACAATTATATATATACCTCATAAAAGTCAAATATCTTCCACAGTGACAAAGATTAATAACTAGTCCCGTTTTACGCCGACAGAGGCGCTAATAACATTATGAAGTATGCCGCACACATAGTATTAATATAAATTGCGCAAGTTGTTTTGTCAGTTTGACGTCAGGTGTTCACTGTAAACGTGAGGCAAGATGGCGTGAGAGTTTACTCTGTGTATTTAGTGTGTCTGTATAAATACAGTTTGAAGAAACGTTGAATAAATATTGATAAAAAGGAGTGAATGTTTGCTTGCCCTGTACAATACTCTACACTTTATATATAAAGTTGTAGTCTATGTTTGTCTGTTTGTTTGTCCAATTTTGATTGGGGACCTCGGGAGAGCCACAAAAATGTTCTTAGTTCATGGTTTTGAGATTCTAAGTTGGGTGGATCGACTTTTATAGCGAAAATCGACCAAGTGCGGGTAAACAGTGGAAGTAACATTAAGGAACCGTGGGCAACGCGGGGTTCCCAAGCCAGTACTTAATAGATTATGGGCTTTTTTTTTACTGATTTTAACCCCTAATTTATAATCCCAAAATAGGGCCACTTGCAAAAAAATAAATACTGTTTCTTGCGCTAGTTTGGAAAGAAAAGTAGGTCTAAAGTTTAATATAACTATTCAAGTATCATTCCTTTCAAGGAACCATGCTCACTTGCCTCAAAATCAAATATCCAATCCTTTTATCTTTGCACCTTAGTGTCGTACACATTTGATGTTTCAAACTATAAATTCTTCTAGTTTGCAATATCAATTAGAAAATTAGGCGTTGGGACATTTCATAGAAAGACATTTCACTAGAAGACATTTCATAGAAAGGCATTTCATTAAAAGTCATTTTATAAAAAGACATTTCATTGAAAGACATTTCATAGAAAGACATTTCATAGATAGAAATATCATAGATAGGACATTTCATAGATTGACATTTCATAGAAAGACATTTCATAAATAACAATATCATAGATAGGGCATTTCATAGTTAAAGACATTCCTATGAAATGTCCTTCTATGAAATGTCCTATCTATGAAATGTCTTATCAATGAAATGTTCTATCTATGAAATGTCCTATCTATGAAAAGTCCTATCTATGAAATGTCCTATTTATGAAATGTCCTATCTATGAAAAGTCCTATCTATGAAATGTCCTATTTATGAAATGTCCTATCTATGAAAAGTCTTATCTTTGAAATGTCCTATTTATGAAATGTCCTATCTATGAAATGTCCTATCTATTGAAATGATGAAATGTCCTATTTATGAAATGTCCTATCTATGAAATGTCCTATCTATGAAATGTCCTATCTATGAAATGTCCTATCTATGAAATGTCCTATCTATGAAATGTGAGTATTCAGTTCATTTGTTTATTACTACTATAAAAAGTGGAGGAATTGTATTCCATTTATTTACATAAAAAATCCTAAATTCTCTAAACTTTCTGACGAAATATATTCATAAACACCTGTAGATATACATAAACATATGCATAGACAAATAGGCTGTATTGTCTGAATTAAAGCCATGCATGCTATTGCATGATTTTAAGCTAAATATATTACGTAAAGCTAAGAAGTACCAAAAAAAAGTTTTCTTATGATTTAAGAATTCTGAAATAACTAAAAACAACATTTTTTGAGTAGAGATGTAATTATAAAATTGAAGAAAAAAATTTGATTAAATTCATTTTACTTAAAAGAGCGTGTAGCCATGTTAACAACTGTGCCTGAAATCATCAAAAAAAACACTTGCGCAAACTTATTTTCTCAAATTTTTAGTTTACATCAAAATTCTAAATTTGTTTGTAAAGCGTTTATCTTTTAAAAAATTATCTCACACAGCTTTCAAGTTACAATTGACAATCTTTAAGTTTGTATTTAACCTAAAGTACAAAAGCCTGTATCGTATCCAGTCGATAAACCATATTAACTTTCCAGATGGAAAGGAATTGAGTCTTTGCCACAAACTCTGATTTTCTAATATATCTAGTATATCTTCTAGTATATCTTTGCAACCCAATGACATAGACATTAGATATTTTAAATTATGAATTCTGTAAGATCAAATAATCTAAGTTTGAATTGTCAAATATAAAATTTGAGTTTGTGGCAAAGACTCAATTTCTTTGCACTTGAGAAAATGTTTTATTGGAATGCACTAAAATACTTCCATAGATCTTTCAAATACTTAAATTGTCCACTTATATACTCTACTAATTTGAAAGTATGACCTCACACTTCGGTTGTGACGTAATTTTCTATTAGATAACAAACAGTTTTGCATTTTACATCTTTAGCATCTTTGGATAAATAAGAACGAAGCTACAAACACTACACTTGTGATCAATACCAAATGACTATAAGGGTATTTTGGGGGCAATAAAAAAGATTTAAAAGGCTTACATTCAGACTTTTGCATTGCGTATCTCATTTCTTGGATTGTTTTTTCACCGTCATATTATTTTTTTATAAATGTTGCTTACAGTTCTGCCACGTTCCAAAATGAAAATTCGAGATAAATCGGTCAAGGTATACATGAGTTATGATCGAACAGAAAAACAGACAGACAAACAGATATTTATATAAGAAATATCCTCTTTATCATCTCTGAAATTAGTAAGTGTTGTTTGAAAATCTGTGTTTATTGAAACTCTTTGCAACAAATCTGATTGAAAGGCCATTACTTACTAATTCCTTTTATTAAATTTTAAAAAGGAATTATTGAAGTTTGCGGAAGTTGGTCTGATTGACGGGCCGCGGGAATATTCACTCTTGTATGCCGATTCCATTAGCGCCTGATCCAATCAGGGTTCAGTCATGTGTTTGTTGTGTATTCTGAACCAATAGAAATAGTATGGCGGTAACATCTATCTTTCTATCTATCTCATTATCCAATTAGAGTTATGAATCCTTGAATCGGCGCTATCAGTAAATGGAAATATTTACTTCTACTGAAACTATAGCGATACCAAGGAAATTCTCTTCCTTACGTCTTTTTATATAAAAGCCTGTCTGGCTCCATTAGATTTAGTTAGAAAAAAGTGTAAATATATTTAAAATTAAACAGTCTGTTTTCAAAGTTTTTATCTAAGTCGGCTAAACAGATTTTAAATACATATGTAGTGTTAAAAGTTTAATAGTTTAGACCGTTAATAGTATCACTAAAATCTAACATCAAGTCAAGAGATATTAAACTGTACAGTGAAGTGAAGTACAGTACAGTACCGTTCATGAAAATTTACAGTACATTGCAGTACAGTACAGTACAGTACAGTAAGTACAGTACAGTACAGTACAGTACATACTGAAAGAAGTATTCTGACATATCACCCGTTCCCCCCTTCCCCCATCTAAAATAAAAAAACAATTTCCATTTCCAAACTCACTTTAAATATTTTTGTAAAGGATTTAGCATTTCTGAAATATTAAAAAACCCTTGGGGAATTTTTTCCTTTCAAATCCAGCAAAAAGAAAAAGAAAAAAGAAAACACCGAAGTAATAAAAGAATAAATAAAATGTTTGTTGAAATGATATTTCCCATATTAAGTTGTCTATTAAGAAAATGTGGTCATGTTTTCTAATTATTAAACTTTAAAGCTAGAATTGTACATTTTTCAACCGCAAACATTTGCAGTATTTTTAGCAAAGATACTTGTTTTCTATCCATCTATCTATCCATCTATCTGTCTATCCATCCATCTATCTATCTATCTATCTATCTATCTATCTATCTATCTATCTATCTATCTATCTATCTATCTATTTATCTATCTATCCATCTATCTATCCATATATCCATATATCCATATATCTATCTATCTATCCATCTATCTGTCTATCCATCCATCTATCTATCCATCTATCTATCTATCTATTTATCTATCTATCTATCTATCTATCTATCCATATATCCATATATCTATAAATCCATTTATAAATATATTACGACCATCCATGTGTTTATCTATCCATAAATCTATCCATCTATCTATTAATTACTTTATTCATTGAAATATCTACCCATCTATCCATTTCCTGTATTCCCTATCTATTTTATATCTGAATATTTTTATAATTTATCCATCTTTTTATCCCGGCCAGGTCGATTGAATTTATTATCAATTCATCAATTTATTCATACATTTTCTTCTATTTATCTATCTACCTATCTATCTATCTATCTATCTATCTATCTATCTATTTATCTATCTATGTATCTATCTATCTATCTATCTATCTATCTATTTATTTATCTATCTATCTAACTATCTATCTATCTAACTATCTATCAATCTATCTATCTATCTATCTATCTATCTATCTATCTATCTATCTATCTATCTATCTATCTATCTATCTATCTATCTATCTATATTGATTACACAAGTATAGATAAGCATGTAATTGTCCTAAATGTAGCAAATTAATCAATACATAGCCTTTTACTCAGATGTTTTCACTTGTTTACCATCTACAGGGTGTTATGGAAACAAAACTTCTTATGTAATGTACAGGGTGTCACATATAAAAGCTTGTGATGTTCTTACTTGTTTACAATTGAAAGGGGGAAAAAAACTTTTTAAAAACATAATTTTTTTTCCTTCGTCCCCTTCGTAATTAATGTACACGTTAAAACCCCAGAGATTTTGATAAATATATAGAGACCTGATCAGTTGGATATGAAGGGGGGGGGGGTAGTCCAAGGAAAATGGTCCATTAATAGCAGCAGGATGATAATTATGATTTCATCCAATGAATTATGAATTAATTATTGAGAACTGAGTAAAATTTGATTATTCTAATAACTGAGTGTAAATTGATCAATTATATTCTCATCTATCCATCAATAAATTATTAACCTATCAATATTTTCAGATACAATGTCCATATTGTAGGAACAACGAAAAATGAATTAATCTATAGATAGTTAGGTGGGACGGACAGAATCTCTGATCCCTAGATCAAAGCTGAAGAAGGTTTAGAGTATCCGGGCTCCAGGAGGAACTTGAAAACTTCCAATACTACAAGGTAGGTTTAAAGAGACAGTCTACGTAATTACAAGTGTCTCTCCATTTGAAAAGTTAGTAATCCCATTTACAACACTACCCTATAAACGATAGTCTATGCAAAAATAATTTTCTCCCGGATTTTTAATTTTTTTCTTTTCTATGATATTTTTCAACTGGAGGGAAGTTTTAAATATAATATCAAAAGAATTGTTAATTTGGTTTTGGGTGCCAACAAGGTTGTACCAAGAACTTGGTTTTGGGTGACAACAAGGTTGTACCAACAACTTGGTTTTGGGTGCCAACAAGGTTGTACCAACAATTTGGTTTTGGGTGACAACAAGGTTGTACCAAGAACTTGGTTTTGGGTGACTACTAAGATATACCAACAACTTGGTTTTGGGTGACAACAAGGTTGTACCAACAATTTGGTTTTGGGGTCCAACAAGGTTGTACCAACAATTTGGTTTTCGGTGCCAACAAGGTTGTACCAACAATTTGGTTTTGGGTGCCAACAAGGTTGTACCAACAACTTGGTTTTGGGTGCCAACAACGATTCACAACTTTACCCTTTTTAAAGAAACTAGAATGGAGTATGAATCATCTTTAAAGGAATTGCTACAAACTCAAATTTTCTAATCCCATATCTTTGCAACTTGTACGTGTAGATATTTCAAACATATTTGATAATTTGGAAGGTCTACGACATAAGATTGCAAAGATATAGAGATTAAAAATTCAGAGTTTGTGTCGTGTGTTTTCTCATAATTACTCTGTCCTTACACGGGCAAGAAATGGCAAAAAATCTAAAATTTTGGTTACTTAATGCCGTTAATGAATTATGGCATTTTTAAATGAATGGTCTCTTAAACTGAAATAAAAAATGAAACTATTCCCTGTAGTGTTGCAGAGAATTTCATTAGTTTTCAGAATAATCTAATCTTATTCCCAGTTTACAGAGTTACAGAGACACTTGAGCAAAATTATTTAATTCTTTAATATCAACAAACAAAATCTAATGTTTGTGAACCCAAATTACATTTTTATGTTATCATTTGTTTTAGAATTCGACGAGGAAACGTTCACTGTACTGCAATATTGCATCACTTTACTACATCACTGCACTTTATAACTGTTCTGCATCACTGTACTGCATCACTGTACTGAATCACTGTACTGCATCACTGTACTGAATCACTGTACTGCATAACTGTTCTGCTTCACTGTACTGCATCACTGTACTGAATCACAGTACTGCATAACTGTTCTGCTTCACTGTACTGCATCACTGTACTGAATCACAGTACTGCATAACTGTTCTGCATCACTGTACTGCATCACTATTCTGCATCATTGTACTGCATCACTTTACTGTATCACTGTACTGCAAAATGTCTAATCTCCAGCTTCCCCAACATCATCAAACCGAAGGTTAGTACTGTACATAACGATGATCTTACTGAAGCATAAATTTATCAACGTTTTTTTTGTTAAACTGTTTTTTTTTATTTGCAAAAGTGACTTCCCCATTTCATGCTTCTAAAAAACCATGGAAAATTATCAGAACTGAACGTTTTTCAAGTTGCATGTTGAGCTACTTGAAATTACACTTACAGTCCCTCTGATCTGTTATATTACAGCTGTGCTTGGTTCTGAATACTGTTCTGGATATTTTGATAGTTTGAAGAATTGGAATAATGGATTCTACTGTCCGTCTATGGAGGATAGCATAGGTAACTAAACCAAACCAAACCAAATCAGATTATACCAAATCAGATTATACCAAACCAAACCAAACCAAACCAAACCAAACAAGATTATACCAAACCAAACCAAACCAGATTATACCAAACCAAACCAAACCAGAATAAAACAAACCAAACAAAACCAGATTATACTAAACCAAACCAAACCAGATTATGTTAAACCAAACCTAACCAATTTATACCAAACCAAACCAAACCAATTTATACCAAACCAAATCTAACCAGAATAAACCAAACTAAAGATAGCTAAACTACACCAGACCAAAGTTACCAAAACCAAACCAAACCAGATCTCTGTACCAAAGCATAGCAAATCAAGAAGACCAAAACAGACCACTCCCAACCAAACTGAACCAGACCAAAGCAACTCAAAGAAACCCAAACCGACTAAACCTAAACAAAACAAGACCAAACCTATCATAAAGTAGACAAGAGCTAATCCAAACTAATAGCAATAAGCTTGAGGTATCATAAAACCTCTACCCTTTTCTTATCAACCCCCCGCCTAAAATTCTTGCCTTCTCACAACACCTGTCTAATAATCAGAACAATTTCTCAATTTTCATTTTATCTAAACATAATAGCAGGTCATTGTGAATAGGCCTTAATCTTGCAGAACAACCTGCCTTTATCTGGGAGAGGCATTGGCTTAATTCAAGCCGACATCTTGGGCTTATTTTGCCAACAAACAGACCTAATTCTAGGTTTTCATATTATAATCATCATCAAACAGATGATTGCATGGATAGTACAAAATAGGTTTAAAGGGACTATAGACGTAATTTCAAGTGACCATTCATCTAATGAGTTGTTTGTTTGATTTGGCTTCACTGTAGTTTGTAAATAACAAACTGTTTGAAACGGAAAAGAAAGAAGGAACCATAAATATATAAAGTAAGACCGAATAATTTCAGTACAGTCGTCTCTGAAGTCTCATCCTTTTTGGGTAACCCTGTATGAAACAATATATTTTAGATAAATTAATCACCAGTTGAAAAAAAGTTGAAATTTTTTTTTCGGTCCAGCCGTTCGGCCGGCTATACGCAACATATATATGAATGTCTTGTTTTATGTTATAGATATATTAGATTAACTTGAAAAAATTACGTTTTTTATGTATATCTATAAAAACATAAATATATACTAATTATTACTAATTATAATACTAACAGTCTAACAGGGCCCATTCAGGGGGTCTTATGGGCTGATCCCCCCCCCCCCGGGGAAAGTAAAAAGGACAAATTTCATGTATAAGCACTTATATATATATATATATTTTAGATGTATTCTGCTGTGGGTCGCCGACACATAAATATTGTTGTACAAAAAAGGATCAAGTTATTCAGACTGAAGTTGAGAGGTAAAATTTTTGTAAACATTATTTTATTGTTTAAAGTGATCGTTCAGATATTTGGATAAGGTGGAAGGTAACAATTATTGAAGTAACCCTCTATGCAAAGAGTGCCATGCCCAATTCACAACGGTACGCTTTATACCTTTATCTGAGCAACAATGAGGAAGATATTTCAAAAAGTATTGCCAAGTTCCATCATTGTCTAGAAATCACGATTGAAAATTATAAAGGAATTGAGTCACAAACCTTGGTTTTCTAATCTCTATATTTTAACAACCCCATGACGTAGACCTGAGATATTTCAAACTATAAAGTCAAAAAGTCTAAATCTGAAATAACAAAAACATATAGGAATTTTAATTTGTGGCAAAGACTCAATTCCTTCTGAAGAAATAAGGATATCTCATTAATTCTTGACCAGACTAAGGTCTGGTCAAGATTCGAGACTTGATTTGTTTAGATCATGTACGAATAGTTTCAAATAAGTATCAATTCTTTGTCTTACATATAAATACTAGGCTTTTACATCTTCTATTTTAATTGTTCTCTTGTGTACATTGTAAACCCAATAACAAACAAAATTTCGCCGATTTCCTAAATACATTTCGTGGGTTTTCAAAATTTTCAAAAATAGAACTTTGATAGAGGCAAATTTTGAAAATTCGATCATACATAAACCTGCCCTGGGGCTACACGAGGTCCCACAAAAAATGTTGTCCCGATCGGTTCAGCCGTTTTGACGTTTATTGAGTACAAGCGGACAGACTGACAGACAAGCAAAGTAATATATAGATAAAAACTTCATTTTGATGATAATTATAATTTTTATTAGTGGTGTTAAAGTTTAAACCCGGAAATGTGCAAACAAACTGTTTCCGGTTAAAAATGGGGAAAGTTTCTTATTAAAACTTTTCTTTTCCGGTTTAAATCTTGGATTTGATGTTAGTACAAAAGTTCCAAATTTTTTTATTCTTCATTTTTTTCACCTTCATACAACAAGCATTCAATTGCTTAACAACCATGTAAGGCAGAAAATATTTTTCCTAATAAAGAGAATACATTTCACAAGATATAAGACTTTTACAGACTTAGCTAGAGACACAGTCCTACTTTTAAATTAAATCAATTCAATTCAAATTCAAATTAATTTGAAGTCGTCTTCATTCTTCAAATGAAGGTCTTTCTAAAAGTACTCCTTTCTCAGCAGAATATATCAAGGATTTAAATAGTTTTTTTTTTCTCGCTTAAGTGTTATTAAAAGTGCACGAATTGTTCTATCTTGTTCTCTCCAATTTACATAAAATTTTCATAAAAATTTAAATTTTGCTAAATTTATTCTCTTTGTGCACCACAGGTTAGTGGTATTACAAGCTACCCGATGAATTTATTTTGCAAGAGATTTTTGCAAATTATGCATGATTGAGTTTTATTCAGATTTTTTATCACCTTGATAAAATAAACAAAATGGTCATTTTTATTAGCAAATATACAAAAAAATTTCAGATCATTTTTCACAAAATTAGAGTAACTATCTTGATGTGTAACAATCTATATATTGTACTTTGACTATTTATTTTCAAGTTTAACTGTACTACATTCTAGTGTAACTATCTATATTATATTGTAACTATCTATATTATAGTATAGTAATCTATATTGTATAAGTAACTATCTATATTCTAATGTAACTATACTACATTCTAGTGTAACTATTCATATTTTAGTATAACTATCTTTATTGCAGTGTAACTATCCTAATTGGAGTGGTAGTTGGAGCTGCTACCGCTTTGCTGCTGTTGACTATGGTGGCTTGTGTATGCTGCTCCTGGTGTCCACTCTATAGGAAGAAAACACCGCTAAAGTATAGAGGTAAACTCACATATTCATTTAGAAAGTGAAGAGGAATTCAGTATTTTGATTTAATAATTAAAGATGGGATTTTTCCATAATCTCAAATGGTTATTTATCAAAAGCTGGCTCAACATGTTAATTATAAAATTCCAGTTATTTAGATTCTTCCTTAGACAGAATGCGTGTGAGGCTGATTCTTTACCAGACAGAATTCGTGTTAGACTGATTCCCTACCAGACAGAATGCGTGTTAGACTGCAATTCCCTACCAGACAGAATTCGTGTTAGACTGAATCGCACCCAGATAGAATCCGTGTTAGACTGATTCCCACCCAGATAATATCCGTGTTAGACTGTTTTTCTATCAGACAGAATCCGTATTAGAATGATTCCCTACCAGACAGAATGTAGTAAATACCCTACTCCATAAATGTCTCTCAGACCCGTATCAATCCAGGTACAACTCAATCCTTCTCTTTGATATACGAGGCATAAGAGCTAATCAGTTCAATGACACTTCACTATCAATGTCAATCCGGACACGATCTATGAACCATAAACTATCAATGTTCACACGGACACAATCTCTGAACTATAACTATCAATGTCAACACGGACACGATTTCTAAACAATAAAATATCAATGTCAAATCGGGCACGATTTATCTGAACAATGGCCAACCTATGTCTTTCTTTCAAGAAGTGATTACGGGGCGGGTTAGACTGATTTCATATAAGCCATAATTTGAGTAAGACTGATTCTCTATCAGACGTACAGAATCCGTGTTAGACTGATTCCCCATCAGACAGAATCCGCGTTAGACTGATTTCCCATCAGAAAGAATCCGTGTTAGACTGATTACCACCCAGATAGAATCCGAGTTAGACTGATTCACAATCAGACAGAATCCGTTAAGACTGATTCCCTACCAGACAGAATCCGTGTTAGACTGATTCCCTACCAGACAGAATCCGTGTTAGACTGATTCTTTATCAAACAGAATCCATGTTTAACTGTTTTTTGGCGATCCTATCTCTCCCGCTAAGACCTAAATATGTAGAACTTTCTGTATCTTGTGTCATGTGTGCCGTGACGATTTCAAATCCTGGATCAAATATCCAGGATTACTTTGAAACTGCATGACAGGGTTCAGAATTTACTCCGGGTACTGAGTTTAGCAGTACTCAGATCTGATCTTAAAGCAATCTTTCTCTGAGTTTTTGTTGTTGCGGTTTTTAATCTTTTAATCTTAACTGTCCTCAAATCTTGTTATTTAATTAATCATCCTCCTTTCTCTTCTTTTTAACCTTCTCTCATTACTAGTAGTTCATTCATTTCGGAGTCATCCTTTACTCCTTGTACTTCGTTCATTCTTTTGTATTCGAATATTTCCTTTCCATATAGGAACTGAGTTCTTGCCACAAACTCTAACTGTCTAATCCATAACAACCTGATGATAAAAGCTTAAAACCTAGAATATTACAGAATTCATAGTGTGAAATATTAAAGGGTTACACTATCAAATCCCACAGATTTAGGGATAACAAAAAACAAAAATTAAGTTTGCGACAAAAAGAGTTTCTTAATAATAATAATATCATATTTTCCATCTCATTTATTTATTAAGAATTCATTATTTTCCGCCTCTAAGTCTATTCGATTATCCCACGAACATTGAAAAATCCGCAAAACTAAAATAAAAAACCTGCAATGATAAAACAAAATTTAAGAATATCAAACGAAATAATTAATGAATAAATTCTGTCGGAAACCCTAATTAGATTTAATTTAATTAATTTATTTTATTTAATTTTCCTTTTAATTCATGTTATCATAAATCTCAGTTAGCTATGTCATGTTAATGCAAAATTGTAAAATAAAAGTCTGGCTTTAAATTTTTAAAGTACTAGCCTTAGAGGGTGCTTCGCGCCCATCTTCTAAATTAATTGTGAACATGTTCTCTATGTGTACATTGTAAAACAAAACAAAAATAATTCGCGGATTTTCACAAAATATTTCGCGGATTTTCAAAATTTTCAAAAATTTAATGCCGATCGAATTTTGATGGAGACAAATATTTGAAATTTTGATCATTCATAAACCTTCCCTGGGGTCCCTAGATGTCCCACAAAAAATTTGGGCCCGATCGGTTCAGCCGTTTTGACGTTTATTGGATACAAACAAACGGACAGACAAGCCAAATTTATATATAGATAAAGATTTTTTAAAAGCTAATTAGAAAATAATGTCTAGTACAACGACTAGTTTATGTACAGTCTAGATCTATGTACCGACTAGTTTATGTACAGTCTAGATCTATGTACCGACTAGTTTATGTAAAGTCTAGATCTATGTACCGACTAGTTTGTGTACAATATCATGTTCAGGATCTATGTACCGACTAGTTTGTGTACAATATCATGTTCAGGATCTATGTACCGACTAGTTTGTGTACAATATCATGTTCAGGATCTTTGTACCGACTAGTTTGTGTACAATATCATGTTCAGGATCTATGTACCGACTAGTTTGTGTACAATATCATGTTCAGGATCTATGTACTGACTAGTCTGTGTACAATATCGTATTTAGGATCTATGTACGGACTATTTTATGTAATGCCATGTTTATGTACAGTATTATGTTTAGGATCTAAGTACCAACTAATATTATGTTTAGGATCTATGAACCGACTAGTTTTTATACAAAAACATGTTTATAATCTATGTACCGACTAGTTATGTACACTTTTATGTTCAGGATCTATGTACCGACTAGTTTATACACTGACATCTATTCCTTATGTACAATTTTATGGTTAAAATCTATGCACCGACTAGTTTATGTACAATATCATGTTCAGGATCTATGTACCGACTAGTTTGTGTGCAATATCATGTTCAGGATCTATGTACCGACTAGTCTGTGTACAATATCGTGTTTAGGATCTATGTACGGACTTGTTTATGTAATGATATGTTTATGTACAGTATTATGTTTAGGATCTACGTATCGACTAGTTTATATACTGACATTCATTCCTTATGTACAATATTATGCTTATAATCTATGTACCGACTAGTTTATGTACAATATTACGTTTAGGATCTATGTACCGACTAGCTTATGTACAATATTTTGTTTAGGATCTATGTACCGACTGCACAACCAGGGAAGTGAGCACAGTGCTGTAACAAACATGTACAGCGTGAGTAACCAAGCGAGTAGAAGTTCTACTCCTACTCCTGCATACCCTTCATCATCTACTCTAGCACACAGGGACTCCAGGGATACAAGGGATACCAGGAGTCTTATCAACTCCAGGATGAGTCATAGCCATACACTCCCTCACTCACTCTCACACCATCACAGTAAGTTTGCTAGTATAAAGGGAACGGTAGATTATAATTATAAATATTCCACCAATTATAGAGGGGTGGGTACAATTCACAAATGCACCTTAAACAGATTTGTCTTATCATGACTGAGCGAGATATCCTTCTCCTCAGTCTTTAAATATTCATTGTTTTCGATTGTGGTTACTACAGTAATTTACTGATTTATGTTACAATGAACCAGAAACAATGGAGAAAATTATTAGAATACAACAAACGTCCGAGTCGACTGTACGGAAAGTATTTTAAATACACCCTTGGTTTCCTGCAGATGAAAATTAGTACTTTATTCATTGCAGCAGACTAAATTCAACTTTAAGACCGTTAAAATCAATTAAGATAATATTTATGTTCGAAATTGAAGTCTGGGTAACCCTGCAGTTGACTAATGTATTCACCATGGTTCATTACACAAGTAATATTATTAAAATTTAATTTTCTTTTCAAAGAAAACTTTTCTTTTAAAGTTTTAAAATTCTCAGTTCTTTTAACAGGTTTACTGTGTAAAGGGGGGGGGGTGATTTATTTAGAATATTAAAAAAAATTTTAGATCATGATCTTTTTTTGTTCTATTGTGATGTACTTAATGTATTGTGGATTGAACTAAATGGATTGCGGACAGACTAAGATATATATATGGGATCTGCATTAGATGGATGTATCCCCCCTTCTCATTTTCTTCCCCCCACCCCCTCTCCCAACCCATAGAGATAATGGTATAATACCACATATTAGAGCAGAAGATTTTATTTATATTTTAACACCTGAGCAGAACAAAAGTGTATCCGTCAAAAAAATATTTTTGTCACAAAAATGAATATCGTCAATGCATTCTTTTTTACGTTGTAAAAAATCCGAAACTTTTCTATAATTAATCATAAAATTAAAAAAATTGTATGAATTCGAATTGAAAGCATTTCAGACATTATTTAACATTATTTAACATTATTTTAGCAGTTAAGCGTTGAAATTGAATGACCTAGGATCGTGCTTAGAGTTAAATAGTTTTATAAAATCCAATATATTATGTTTAATATATCTACATATATATATATATCTATATATAAATTTGGCTTGTCTGTCTGTTTGTTTGTATCCAATAAACGTCAAAACGGCTGAACCGATCGGGCCCCAATTTTTTTTAAGACATCACGTGACCACAGGGAAGGTTTACGAATGATAAAAATTAAAAAAAAGATGTGCTTTAAAGTTTTTTAATTTTGTAAAAAAATTGAAATTCTTGAAAATCCGCGAATTTTTTTTTAAAAATCCGTGAAATTTTGTTCTTGTTTTGAAATGTAAACAAAAAGAACATGTTCACAATTTAAATAGAAGATATATATATATATATATGTCAGTTTTTAACTTCCCTTTTTATGCAAAAAGGAATTTAACTAAACTGAATCTTTCACGCTTCACGAGGATTTTCAGTAAAGTCAAAATTCCTTGAACAACTAAAATTCCAAGATTTTTCTATCACATATTGCGTGTTTTATTACAATCAATTTTCAAAAATATTTGACCTCAAACAAAAATCATATTTTTTCAACATTGTTTTGTGAAAGAATTTTTCTTAAAGGGAAAGTAAAACTATTTTTCTAGTGATTCTCCGTTTATAAGTGGATTCCCATAAAAAAACGAAGATACATAATGTTTCGTTACATTTTAAAATGAACATTTTTACTTGTGTTTTCTCTAAACTGTGACTTGCGGGTTTCTGCTTCTGAAACAATGGAGGAAATTGTTAGAATTGACCACTTTTCAAGTAAGAAAAACAATAATATCTTCCACATTATTTATCATATAAAGGATAAAATCGTGAATGCTCCTCTAGAAATGGAAGATCACTTCAAATTTCGAGAACAGTCCATTTGAAATTTTCAATTTGAAAATATAATTGATCCTGGGTTTGAGAACTATAAATTCCAAACTCCTATTTATGTTTAGAGGAGAAACCCACACATTGGCAGAAACACTGAACATTCATTGCAAACTTTTTGCAAATTTAAAGGAGTGGGATTCGCGCAGAGTTAGAGCGTCTTTTCTTGTATTTTAAACAACAAAAATAATCTTTGCAAAAAATAAAAATCCGCAACTTTTCTGTACGTGCTCTAATTTAAATAATTTCCAATATGAATATATTTAATTTAAGAATGATTATGGTGATAAGTTTTTAAAATTCTTGGCTCTGACTAAATTATTTTAGACTATTTTTTCACTTTGTTATTACGAAAAAGAATATTAATAAACTTGTTTTGCATATTTAAAAACAAAAAATGAAATAAAAAATAGAAAATAAACCAAACAGGATTAAGTACCTCACATTCCAGCAGAAAGTAAAGTGATGAAAGTTGTATCTATAGCAAAAACACTGATATGCATTAATTCTACGATCGGTCCATGTGTAATTGTACTGAATGTAAATTAAGGTACATTGGATGCACACGGTGTATTTCCTGTACAGTGTACACTGTACAATTTTCAACACGTCACTGATAAAAAGGTTATTGAAGGCAAATTATTAAAAGTATTATGTTACTTCCGAGGAGTACATTTAAAAATTTCTAGGAGTACATTTAAAAAATTCTAGGAGTAAATTTAAAAAATTGAATTTTAGAAGTAAGTTTGTATACAACTGTTTCTTTCCAGGTTTCCGAGCTGGTTCACAAAGAGAGGAGATGGAGAGAAGATACGGAACACTTGGACGCCAACCCAGAGAACAACCTCCTCCATACCATATTCTACCCCGGAGCTCATACCTTCTCATCCCACAGGATACTCCAGACCTACTCAGGTATACTAGGGTACTCTAGACCTACTCAGGTATACTAGGATACTCCAGACCTGCTCAGGTATACTAGGATACTCCAGACCTACTCAGGTATACTAGGATACTACTCAGATATACCAAGATACTCCAGGCCTACTCAGGTATACCAAGATACTCCAGACCTACTCAGGTATACTAGGATACTCCAGACCTACACAGGTATTCTAGGATACTCCAGACCTACTCAGGTATTCCAAGATACTCCAGGCCTACTCAGGTATACCAAGATACTCCAGGCCAGTGCTTGGTTTGTGAGGTTTCTCAGAATCCCTAAGCTGTAAAACTGCGCCAAATGTTTGTAATTGATCCAACCTGTCTAAAGCTTCGGATTCAAACCTCTCAGTTCCAAAGATATTAAATCTTGGAAAAGGAATTGAGCCTTTTCCACAAATCTTATAATCCCTTTATCTTTGTAACCTGTTGGTGGAAGTCTTTGATATTTCAAACTCAATTATTTGATCTAACAGAAAGCTTAGTTTGAAATGTCTATGGTCAATGAATTTCGGTTGCAAAGCTATAGACTTAGCAAATAAGAGCTGAGAAGACTCAAATCCATTATTGGAAAGAAGAAGTAAAGCATCGAATGTAAGGTTTCACATATTTCCGGATCAACTTGGTTTTGAAAATGTTTTACGGAAGTTTGAGGGAAGCTTTTTAGAATTCAAAACATTTAGAAACGATTTAATATTAAGGATGGAAGCTTCACAAAGCTAGTGTTGACATGCTGAGAGCATTTTTCGGAGCAATTTCTTATGAAATCAAACCAGAAAAATTACATTTTTCTAGTATTTCGCCCCGAACATTTAAAGGTTAAGATATCAATGTAAACGTACTGGACAGTCAACTGTTGGAAGGATTTGTAATTGTTCTCATTAGTTCTCCGGTTTCAACATTTAAATTGAAAGTTTCTTCATGTTTTGAAACATTAAATCCGGTCCCGGACTTTTGCAAAGCTCCGGGATTAACATTTTACAGTCCCTGTCCTAGCCTGAACCCGGAGCAAAACAGAAAATTTAAATCATCAGGTTTTCCAGGAGGAAGGGGAGGGGAAGGAGAGAGAAAGGAAAGGGAAATGAAAGGGAAAAGATAGGAAAAGAAGAAGGAAAGGAGAAGGAAAGGAGAGGGAACGGAGAGGGAAGGAGAGGGGAAGGAGACGGAAAGGGGAGTGAAAGGAGAGGGAACGGAGAGGGAAAGGAGAAGGGAAGGAGAGAGAAAGGAGAGGGAAAGAAGAGGAGAAGGGAGAGGGGAATGGAAGGAAAAGGATAGTGGAAGGAGGGGTTCAATGCTGTGGTCAGGAGTAATCAATCAAACCATATCTTTACTTCACAATTGAAAAGATTTATTGAACCCAGGGATTATATTACATTTGGCGCATTTTTAGAGGGCCATGTTCAGGNAATGTTTGATCCTGAAGGGGTTTGTTTACCTATCTGAAAAAGCAACCAAATCTTTTGAAATAGGAAATTCAGTAAGCTCCTTCTGTTTTTTAAAAGATAAAATAGTTTCTTCAGAAAAGAATATAATATTTGATGAGGGTTCTGGTTTTTAGAAAAAGTCTCCCACAAGACCGGAAAATGTCTATAGCATAGGATGTCACTAAGGAAAAATTAATTTGAATAGTTTTTAGATAAAAGCAGCATTAATCAGCACAGAAATATTTTGTATTGAGTTCAGCAGATTTTTAAAAATTGTGTAACAAATCCGTTGTTTCAGTGGAGGACTCATGAGAGACGAAATTCGTTGTTACGAGGATGACAAGGATACTGGAGATCTGTACCAGGAGAAAATAAGGGAACAGTCCCATTCACCCCAGGAGGAGGAGCTCTACAGGTCTACTAAGTTCTAGATTCAACCCGGAGAATTCTAGAGATCTACTCAGTCCTAGATCCAACCCGGAGAAATCTAAAGATCTACAAGTTCTAGATTTAGGCCGGAGAAATCCTATAGATCTACCAAGTTCTAGATCTAGGCCGGAGAACCCATAAAGATTTACTATTTTTTAATCTAAGCGAGAGTATTCTGTAGATCTAATAGTCTTAGACCAGACCCGAAAAAATCTGCAGGTGTAGATCTAACTCGGAGTAATGCATAGATCGATCTACTAATTCCGGTTCTAACCAAGAGTAATCCACCGGTTGGCTAGTTCTTGATATAACCTGGAATTACTTTAGATCTATTAATTATAAATGTAAACCAGAGTAATCTACAGATCTGCTAGTGGAGATCTAACCCGGATAAATCTACAGATCTACTAACTTTTGTTCTACTCCTGAGTAATCTACAGATCGACTAGTTCTAGAAATAGCTCGGAGTAATCTACAGGTCTACTGGTTCTATATCTGACCCGAAGAAATCCACAGATTCCAAATGAAAAAAAAAGTTTCAATATACACTCTAGAGCCTACAGTGGGGAAGTGTAGAAACCAATCTTAAACCTGGAAACAAAGTTATAATAAGAAAATAAATCCAGGTCCCAGGAGATCAGTGAACAGTGAAACTAGTTCCCTGGATATCAGGCTCCATCAGTCCCTGCAAGGGGCGGGGTTTATTTATTTCTGAATCCGGAATAAGGTTCGTTTAGGACCCAGAGTTGAGGTCTTATAACTTACGCGTGGTTCGATTTGAACAGTTCCTTAATAAACCGAGTAAAATAGAAATGAACCCAGAGAAAGGATTTATCAGAACCCAAAGTTCGGTTCGATCAGAACCTGTAGAATATTAAAAATATATGGAGAATATTGAAAAAGGTTCAATCAGAATCCGGAGCAAGGTTCAATCAGAACCCGGAGCAAGGTTCAATCAGAACCCGGAGCTAGGTTCCATCAGAACCCGGAGCTATAAGGTTTAATTAGACCCTGAGAGGATGGGATTTTCCCTTCTTATCCCTGCAATTCCATCAAATCACCATAAACCAAGCGGAGCAAGAAATTAATAGAGCTACAGTATTGCACCAAGAAAAATAACAAAATGAACATAAAAAAATGGTGTCTGACTTTTAAACATAAACTAGCAAGCGAGAAAAAAAACTGAAAAATGTGTTCTTTGATAGTTTTAGATCTAGCTCTAAATCAAAAGTTGAAATCAAACTTTTTGTCTTGAAAGTGAATCTTTATACCTTTAAATCTTTAAATCTTTAAATCTTTAAAAGGGTTTTCAAAATAGAGGATAAAAGTTTTAAGCACTGAAGAGTGTGTGTGTGGGAAGGGGGGG